ACTGGGACTTACAGAGAGCATTCTATCATATTTAAACTGGTATTCCGCTCCTAAAAGTAATGAGAAACTAGGCTAAATTGGTTACATTATAGGGAAATTCTAGATATATCTTCATCGATCAAGGGCATCATGGCCATCTGCTAATTACAAAATACATGATGGTAGGATCACTGACATGGTCAGAATCTCCTTTCGTTGTATAAAAGTGGTTTGACCTCGTTTTCGCAACTTGGTCGTGTTGTCAGGATGGTCTAAATGAGCCCGTTCTGTATCAAGTTCGCTGCCATAGCGGTTATGATAATTTCCAGTAACAGACTGTGGACTTGGTACAAGCCCAGACGTTTCGCCGGCATCGTAGTCGGTGTTGTCAGTATGCTTTGCCATTCTTAGCACCAAAACAATAATTCGCCAAAGAGACAATTGAAGTGCATCCAAAGTTTGTGTTTTCACAACTGCACATGTACCTTCCACAAGTGGACCCTGTTAGCCAGCCACCTACAGAACACAAGAGGACATTTATTCAGGACGCTGCCAAAGCTAGGCTCCTGTTCATCTGCATAACACGATCTTCATCTGAAGTAGTGACATTTTCAAAAAATATTCACTCCAAATCATATTGGCATCATCGACACTTACATAACAAAGTGGGATTTTGAAGAGTCTTGTCTTAAAGGTTACATATGACCTGTGACTCCTTGGCACACGTGGTTGTGTGGCGGATAAGTAACGTTGCCACTGGTTCGAGTCCCGTTGGTTGTGTGATTTGGCCTTGGTGAGGTCAACTCTACAGTCCAACCTAGTTGATGGCATAGTTAAATGAAATGCATGGCAATCGTGGGGTCTTCTCGTATCGCTGTGGGAAAAAACTCCAAAAAAATTCTTAAATAGTCTCAAGCTTTAGTCGTTATTCAAGGAATCCCGAATGTCTATGAATATCTCCGCACGTCTTATCACCCGATGGGATTTGCGGGTGCACGGAGGGGTTACCAGATACCAAAGTGTTAACGCCTCAGTGCCGTTGCCTTGAGGACAGATTTGTTTAAGGGCGGAATGTTTGCTTCACCGACACTTGGCAGCAGAAAGCGGGAATATCACCGTCCTGAGGCATCGTCGGTCACGCCCCTATCAGCACGGGATCAAGGAGAAGACGGCATTTTTGACCTCATCCCAGTCTTAGTCACCCCTCCGACTGGCCCTAAGCCTGATTCTTAGAGATGAGCCCAAGATAAGGCCTTCTGGATGGCGAAACAGAGAAACAAGGTGGGGAGGCATATAAATTGAAAGGAGCATTCAAGTCTCTAGTCAATGCCGCACCAAATGAACAATGTTTGGTTCAGTCTTGATTGTCTCTAGAGACGGAGTTTGCCTGTGCATTAATACATTTTCTATGGTAACTTTAAATTATTACTACTATGTATCATTATTTTGATTGTCTCCTCCATGGAGACTTCGTGACAAAGTAGCTCTTATACCCTCACATCACTACTTTTTCTACTACTTATAGTTATTTGATCTTATGAAATAATGCTTAAAAGTCAAAAATTACATCTAAGCCTGCATCTGAAGCATAAAATGGCAGTAAAATTCGGTCCATACTGTCGACTTCATAGCCATTGTCCTGCTTGTTTGCGAATAAATGAATAAGAGACCTGACCTCTGCCTTCATTGTCACTCCGAGGCATATCTCAGAAGTGCTTCCCTACCTCGTCTCTGTAGTCCTGGCAGCAGACGCACCGCCTCTGATACCACAATCCATTATGGCTTTTTTGTATTCTCTTGCCCTTTCGGCCTTCAGGTCACTGCCTGGCCTTCTTCGGCCTCTTGATCCTGATCTCCAGCCTCCTGCTCTCAACAGTTGGTCTGAACGAGAAGTCTGGGAGCAAAACTTATGGTGACCTAAAACTTACGAGTTTTCGGCCCGATCAGACAACAACCTTTCTACCACACATCTTCGCAGTTGGCTCAAAGAGCTTGAGGTGGCAGACATCCCCCGGCCCCAAGAGTACAACCGGACATACGCATCTGCCGGCATCACAGCACTCTAACGACCTAAAAGATTCTGCAGAGTCAGAGCAGTCGAGCCCCATGATGGAGGCGAAAGTACTGAAAGATGAGGCTGGAAATAGGCATTCTCCAGCCGAAGCAAATTGGAAAACGGCCAAAAAGGAGAGCCAGAGAAAAGCTCATCAGGAGGACAATAGTCGGCTAAATAAAATGGCGAAAAGACAAGTCGAGGCGACTGGAGGTGTGTTGAGTGTGAGCGGAGACGAGCAGGACTGTATGGAAAGCAAAAATGATAAGGTGTCAAAAGTACATCACACCCAAATAGGGGTGAAACTCGGAGAAGACGGGGCGATCAGCCACGCGGTTTCACTTCGTACGGCTCGCTACGTCGACCTCGAAGGGCCTCAGGTCCACCAAGATGGCCGCGCCTCTGAGGGTTTCTGGCTTTCACAAGACGCAAAGTCCGAGTTCGAGTCCGGATGGGGCGAGAAATCTCTCATCAAAGACCTGTTGGCCGACTACGACCGGCGCTCGCGGCCCGTCGTCGACGGACTGACGCCGCGTGTACAGGTGAATAGGAATGAGACGGCGGAACAGCTAACGGTGGAGTTCGGCCTCGGCCTGATTCAGATACTTGAGCTCAACGAAATGGATCAGGTGCTCACCACCAGTGTTCGCTCCCTTTACGTAAGCCATTGTGTCGTTTCTAAAGTTTGTGTATGCTTGTGTAATTTGATGTTTCATTACGAATAAAGAGTTTCGTGAATTAACCACACCGAAATTTTAATAAGGTTTTCTTTCGAGTTGTGATGGAGAATTTGATGAGCACCGTCAATGCAGACTCTTCGTCTGTCCAGCCGTGACTGAAATCGTCAGAGCCAGGCACCATTTGCTAGAAAAAAATGCCCACATACACTTAACCAAACAAATGTGGCTGGCTGCAACTGTACTAACGTTTTACACCAAAAGCCAAATCACTTGATCATCTTTCTTGCGCTTTACTCCTAAATGATGGGTTCTGAAAGTGAAACTGCTTGTCACGAAAGCTCATCAATGAGGGTTCGGGATAGCGGAACTTCTAAGAACAAACCCGATTCAAGCTCATCCTTCTTCGGTCTCAGGGGAGGCCAATTCATGAATACCTTTAAACCAACCTTTCGCTGGAGTTACATTAAATTATGAGAAGAAAGGTTGTGTTTTAAGGAAAATCTTGTTCTATAATTTTTAAGCTCAATTACATTTTTAGGAAGTGCGCGATGAAGAGATTCGTAGCCCCATCCCAACAGAAGACGATGGCATATTTTTTTGCTAGCTGTCGGTCGGCTTTCCTGAAAACTTCTTTCTAACGTGGTCACCAAGGCAATCTCCCTAGATTTCTGATAAATTTGATGAGTTTTGCCTGTCATATGAAGAACATAATCAGGGCAGGGTAACATTCTCACAGGCTACTTCGAGTTTAAGAGTCGAGAAA